AGCAAAGCTAACGAGTTAATCAGACAGATCAAGTTCAACTGAAAAGAGATTACTTGTTTGCAGCCCCCCAAGTATCTTTACCATCTAGAGGGAGTCTAAACCACAAGGTGGTACTATGAATTTGGGGGAGGGGGATTGTTTAGGACCCTGGGGGGGGGGGAAGGAACCAGAATGCCAAAAAATTTCCCTGACAGCAACGTCAAGTTCGTTTCATTCCTGGGGGAGGCAACAGACTATTTGAGGGCTTAATATGATCTATATACCTCTTTAGGGGTTCCTATGAGTTCTTTGTATACTCTGCATTTTCTCTGAGATGAAATTAAGGTTGTTCCATGCATGATTTGCATACAAGTTGCTTGAGTGCTTGTACAAGACTCTGTTACCCACATTTTGGAGAAATCTAAATGTGTTTTACTTGATCTACATTTGGAGACTTCCTATAGTAATTCCACGTGGAAGCAATGAACAGATGAGAAAAAAGTTACCTTTCAGGTTAAACTGTCCAGATAAAACTTTGTCTATGAGAGCCCAGCACCTTGTGTGGTTGGACTTGGGTCATGATTCGCAAAAATAACACTTCAAAGAAGTATGTAAGAAGGGAATGAATTGGAGCAGCTAGGTGGTGCGGTGGATAGAGCTCTGGCCTTGGAGTTGGAAGGACCTGAATTCAAATCCAGTCTCAGACACATGACACTTACTAGCTGTGTGACCCTGGGCAAGTCACTTAACCCCAACTACCTTACCAAAAAAAAAAAAAAAAAAGGGAATGAATTCCAATAAAGGGGTAGAGGGGGAAGTTTATGAGAATGCATCAATATGGGGAAATGGAATGTTGAGTTCAGAAACAGCTTGCAATCCAGTTTGACTGGATAGTAAGAGTACATGAAGTGTAAATAAGGCTGGAGCTAGACTGTGGAATTCTTCACAGCCTGGCAAAGGTTTGTATTCTATCCTACAGGCAATAGGTACCCAAAGGAAAATTTTCAGTAGAGGACTAGCCAGGGTGTGTTGGACACAGCTCAAACTGGTTTGGGAGAATCAATTGTTAAATTGTCAGTGTGGGCATTTACACCTTGGACATAGGCAAATGCTACAAATCAAGGTTTCAATTATTGTTTTATTGATTATCTAGCGTTTAGAAAGTTATGGAGTAAATATTAATAATGAAGATTAACCTTAAAAGTATGTCATACATATATTTTTATTTCTGGGAAGCTGGTTGTAAAACATTAGCCAACATACCACAAGGAGCAACCTTATCAAGCCATGCTCCTTAGGAAAATTATTTTGGCAGCTATATGGGAGATAAATTGGAGAGTCTAGAAGGAGGAAACCCATTAGTTCAGCCAGTCAACAAGCATTTGTTAAGACCTTACCATAAATCAACACTTGTGGTCAGCACTGGGTAGATTTAAGGAGAGATTAGAATTAGTAAAAGAAACTCTAACATCAGAGGATGGGTTGTGGAGAGGAAAAGAAAAAGGGGAGGATGGGGAGGGAGAAAAAAGAAGGGAAGAAGGGAGTGGAAGAAAAAGAAAGAGAAAGATAGGGAAGTAGAGGGGAGGAAAGGGCTTGATTTGGGGGTCTTGGAGGGGAAGAGAAGACAGGAAAGGAGAAGCCAATTGTATCAAATATTACACTAGTACTACGCATACCTCTCTCTCATTACTCTCTTCAAATTCACATATTGGTAGTGTCTTTGTTAAGAGGGTGTTGGGGAGGCAAGGAAAGGCAAAAGTACAAGAGGACAGGAGGCAGGGAAATACACGGTGAACATGAATGGGATGGATTTATCTATAAAATAGAAGAAAGAATTAGAAAGCAGAATCCAATATGTTGTTTACATGCTTGAAAACGTAAAGATTCACACAGCCTTAAAATTAGGAGCTAGAGCAAAATTAATTATGCTTCAGATGAATTTTAAAAAAGCAAAGGTAATAATCATAATCCGAGAGAAGGAAGCAGTAAAAGTAGAGTGGATTAAAAGAGAAAAACAGAGAAACTCTATCATACTTAAAGGCACTAGGGATAGGGAATTAATATATATGCATTAAATGGCATGGCATTTAAATACCTAAAGAAAAAAGTTAAATGATTTACAGGAAGAAGTAGACAGTGAAACTATAATAGTTGGGGAACTCAATGTATACTTCTAAGACTTAGACAAACAAAAAGGAAAACAAGAAAAAAATTAAGGTCCTGAATAAAAATTTGGAAAGGTTACATATGCTACCTCTCTGTTAATTACTAATTTGGAATGGAAAGGAGTATACATATTTCACAGCTGTGCATGGCTCCATTAAATTGGCAATGTGTTAGGATAAAAAAACCTTACAAACAAATGTAGCAAAGCATAATATTACCAAATTCACAGCATAATAAAATCATATTAAATAAAAGGATTTTAAAGAAAATAATAAAATTAATTGGGACTAAATAATTGGTGGGTCAAAGAACAAATCTTAGAAACAAAAAATAATTTCATCAAAGAAAATGATAATAAATGTACATTTGAAAATTTGGGGAAGACAGTCAAAACAAATCCTTAGGGTAAAATGTATATCTCTTAACATTTTCATCAACAAAAAGAGAAAGAACAGATAGATGAATTGGACAAAACTAGAAATGCAACAAACAAAAAAAATCATGGCTAAACAACAAAATGAAATTCTGAAAAGCAGAAAAGCAAAAAATAATCCATCGAATTGATAAATTAAACTAGGATCTTTTAAAAAGAATAAAATGAACCATTAGCTAGTCTAATTTTAAAAAAAGAAACTAAGAGGATGCCCATTAGTCTGGGATTGTCAAAAGTAATGGAATATTATTGCATGCTAAGAAATTATAACAGAGGTGGTTTTAGAAAAATCTGGGATGACTTGTATAAACTGATGCAGAGTGAAGTGAGCAGAACGGGAGAATAATTTACATAACAATAACATTGTAAAGAACAACTAGGAAAGACTTAAGAATCTAGTCAGCACAACGACCAAATATGATGCTGGAGGACTGATGACGAAAGATGTGACACACACACTTCTTGAGCAAAAGATGATTAACTTAAGATGAAAAGATGATTAACTTAAGATGAAGAAAGAGGCATACATTTTCAGACATGGCCAATATAGGGCTTGACTATGTGTATTTGACACAAGGGTTTTTTGTTTGTTTGTTTGTTTTTCATTTCATTAGCTCTGTGTGTAGTAGGGAGTCTGGAGGATTAAGAGGAGCCAAGGCTAGGATTACTTAAATGAATAAAAGTAAAGTAAGAAAGGAGTGTCATAGGAGCATTTTTAAAATGCACAGATCATAGAAGAAAGGTCAGTGGGAAACAGACAAGGAGGAAAGCTTTGAAAATAACATGATGAATTTGTTATATTTAAAAATAAAAGCTATATAGGCAGTTTTCAGATGAAGAAATTAAAGCTATTTATGGTCATATGAAAAATGCCCTAAATCACTATTGACTAGAGAAATGCAAATCAAAACAATTCTGAGGTACCACATCATACCTATCAGATTGGCCAATATGACAAAACAGGAAAATGAAAAATGTTGGAGAAGATGTGGGAAAATTGGAACACTAATGCATTGTTGGCAGAAGTGATCCACCCATTCTGGAGAGCAATTTGGAACTATGCCCAAAGTGCCATAAAAATGTGCATACCCTTTGACCCAGCAATAGTACTTCTAGGGCTGTATCCCAAAGGGATCATCAGAATAGGAAAAGGACACACATGTATAAAAGTGTTTACAGCAGCTCTTTCTGTGGTGACAAAGAACTGGAAATTGAGAGGATGCCCATCAGTTGGGGAATATCTGAACAAGGTGTGGCATATGAATGATGAGCAGGTAGATTTAAAAAAGGTGTGGCATATGAATGATGAGCAGGTAGATTTAAAAAAAAAACACGAAAAGACTTACATGAATGAGGTGGGCAGAACCAGGAGAACATTGTACACAGTAACAGCAACATTGTTCGATGATCAACTTTGATAGACTTAGCTCTTCTCAGCAATACAATGATCCAAGACAATTCCAAAAGACTCATGATGGCAAATGCTATCCACATCCAGAGAAAGAACTATGGAGTCTGAATGCAGATTGAAGCATATTATTTTCTCTCTCTCTCTCTTTTTTTGGTTTGTTTTTTCTTTCTTAGGGTTTTTCCCTTTGGTTCTGATTCTTTTTTCACAACCTGACTAAAGTGGAAATATGTTTTAATATGATTGTACACGTATAGCCTATATCAGATTGTATGCATTCTTGGGGAGGGGGGAAGAGAGGGAAGGGGAATATTTGGAACTCAAAATCTTATAAAAGTGAATGTTGCAAACTAAAAATAAATAATTTTTCAGAAAAAGAAATGATGAAGGGAATGGTTTCAGGGAAGACTTGTGTGAACTGATACAAAGTGAAGTGATAATAACTAGGAGATTACTTTATACAATAACAACAATATTTTAAAGACAATCAACTTTGAATAACTTAGGAACTGTGATCAACACAATGACCATCCACAGTTCCAAAGGACTCATGATGAAATATGCAACATATCCACCTCCAGATAGAGAGCCAATACACTCAAGAGACAGATTGAAGCATATTTTCTTCTCTTTCTTTCTTTCTTTGACATGACTGATAAGGGAATTTGTTTTGCATGACCATAAAAAATAAGTTATAACATTCATGGTTTTATGTTCAATCTTCCACTGTATTAATTTGTACATGAAAATGCTCATCTTACTTGGTGTTTGTTAAGTTCACAACTTAAAAAAAATCATTGCTGCTGTGTTTTCTCTCTTCTTTTTCTTTCGTGCATCACTATCGCTATTCCCATCCTTACCCGCACCCCCAAAGTCCTCCCTTACAACAAATTTGTATAGTCAGTAAATCAAGACAACTTTACGCTTTGGTCGTGCTCCCGCACACCCCGTCTGCCAAGAAGTGGTCCGGTGGGGACTACATTTCCCAGAATCCGTAGGGGGGGGGGGGGCAAGCTCAGATTCCGTTTTCCAGACGCTATCTCCAAGCCTGCCTGGGAACAGAGCGCCCCCGAGGCCTTTGGCAAATGAAGTCTGGACGGAGGAAGCGGAAGAGGCCCGAAGAAGGCTGCGGGTAGAGGGGCCGCTGGGGTGTGCGCAGGCGCAGCTGTGCGGCGGACTCCGCTGCCAAGATTCCGGACCCCTCTCGATCTGGAGGTAAAGCCCACGCCGGGAGTGCCGCGCGCGCGCTGCTGTGATTGGGGTTGTGTCGAGAGGGCTGGTCGGGGGAAAGCGGAGCCTGGGGAAGGTGGGGCGGGATCCCCGTACCGCCGAGAACCGCACTCTCCTCCGGTCTGCGGCAGCGGGAGCCTGGGTCCTGCGATCGGGGAGTCTGTGGGTGTCCGTCAACCAGTCTAGTCAAGGCGTCACGCATTTATTAAGCGTCTGCTGTATGCCTGGGGTCAGTGCTAAGCGCTGGAGAGACAAAAAGAGGCAAAAGGCAGCCCCTGCCCTCGAGGAGCTTACGATCCAGTGGGGGAGACAAGCAAACATACATAGGAACAAGCTATAGATCAGATAAAGGGGAAATAACAGAGACATCATCTATATTTATTAACCGCCTACTGTGTGCCAGGCACCATGTTAAGCTCTGGGTATACAAAAAGGGGCGAAAGGTAGGCTTTGCCCTCAAGGAACTTATAATCAGATGGGAGAGACAAGGAGCAGATATGTAGGAACAAGCTATAGACAGGATAAATAGGAAATTGTCAACTGAGACATAGTATTTGTGGGGGCACAAAGAAAGGCAGACGACATTCTCTGCCCTCGGAAAGCTCACAGTCTAAGGTTGGGGGTCAGGGTGAGACAACACGCAAACCACTATCCACAAACATCGTGTATGCAGATAAATTGGAAATAATCAAAAGAGGGAGGGCCCAAGCATAGAGAAAAGGCATCTGGTAAAGTGAGACTTAAGGTGGGACAAGAAGGAAGCTGGGAGGTGGAGATGCAGAATCTGAGCATCCAGGTGTGGGAGACAGCCAGGGAGCATGCCCATGAGAGGGGAAGGGTCTTGTTCATGGGACAGAAAAGAGGCAGGGGCCAGCATCGAAGAGTGATCCTTTTTGGGTTATAGAGATAAGAAGGCTGTAAAGGTAGGAGGTGGGGTAGGTTATGAAAGGCTATGAATAGCAGATAGAGGATTTTATATTGGAAACAATGGAAAGCCACTAGAATGTATTGAATGTGTGTTGAGAGTGGGGAGGGAGTGTGACGTGGTCAGACTGGAGCTTTAGGAAGATCACCTTTGACAGCTGAGTGGAGGGTGGAAATAAGCATTTATTAAGTGCTTACTATGTACCGCACAATGCTAAGCACTGGGATGCAAAGCAAGACAAAACACAGACCCTACCAAGTTCTAAAAGGGGGAGATGATGTGTAAACAGCTGTACCTACAAAATAAATACAGTGTAAATGAGAGGTAGTCTCAGAGGGAAAGGGGAAGGTGTGAATGGGAGTGGAAAAGACCTGCAGAAGGTGGGATTTGAGCTAAGCCTTGAAGGAAGCCCAGTATGGAGCATTGCGCCTGCAGGTGTTTGTGCAGGTACTGGTCTGGGTTTCTCTGAAAGTGCCTGAACTAACTTTCAGGAGTTAGATTGTGTGATCAAGAGGGCACAGGCCACTTGCTGCTGTTCTTTGTTTCCCCAGTGCTTAGCACAGTGCCTGGCACATGATAAGCACTTAATAAATACTTGTTGATGAGTAAATGACTGAATTGGGTTCAGTAGAGGAGTCTGGCACCTCAGTTCTCCAGACTTCCAGGTAGAAGTCTTGTAGACTTTGAGTAACCCTGTGTTCCATCCTCTCTGTCCGGTGTTTGCAAGCCTTGTTATTTTTATCCTTTAGAAGGAGCTCTGCAGTTTGACAATTTCCTCTTCTTTGCTGTTGCTGCCACCCTAGTCCAACCCTGATCAGCATATCTGCCCAGCTGGCCTCCCTGCCTTCAGTCTCTTCCACCCTCAGCCCAACATAATCTTTCAGAACTCAGCATATCACTGCCCAGCTTGAGTCCACACTGGGACCTTGCTACTGACCTCAAACCATGTTCAGACCTCTGGTAATGAGATATGGCGGAAAGAGGACTGGATTGAGAATTAGTTCTGTGTTGGTGTCCTAGTGCTTCTGCTTATTAACTATGTAATCCTGAACAGATTCCGTTATCTCTCTTTCTCAGTTTTCTGAGATCTTGTAAATTGGCTACTTTCACTACCTTTCAATTCATTCAGCAACCATTTATTATGTACTTACCACACTCAGGCCCTGGAAATATTAGGCTAAAAAAAACCCCAAAACATCAGCCCCTGCCCTGAAGGAGCTTGAATTTTACTTGGGAGGGTTAAGACTGAGCAACACCTTCATCTAAAATAAGACCTTATAGGGAGTGTGAAAGCAGAACAGTGACCATCTCCGGAGGTGGCACATAAAGGGCTTGTAGGCCACAAACATTCCATTCTCTTTCCACCTCTCAGGAATATCTTTCCTCTAGCTGACTCTAGACATGCTTGGATTTTTTTTTTTTTTTAGCAAAAGTATTTACTGTATTAATCTGTTTACCATATATGCCTTTTTACCAGATACCATAATGATTATGTATCTCATTAAATATGTAGTCATATTAACTGGTATAAATTTAAGTTGTTTTCGTATTCTTTTCAAGGAATATTTATTGTTACTTATGGTATGGTGTGATCCAAAAGTATAAATAAAACATTTAAGGGGTTTTACAATGAAAGAAAGAAAAAAACACCTAAAGGGAAAGTAGAGTTAAAAAAGAGTTTATTTAAGATAAGCTCTCAGAGGGAGAAGAAGAGATTAAAGATTCAGGAGAAGAGGGGGTGAATTGTGGGCTTGAGATCTCAGAGGTGATAGAGAAAGATAGGATGGAGGGGCAGAGGAGGTAGCATTAGAGGAAGAGAAAGATCCTTCCTAGAACTTGTCTAGGAAGGCAGCCAAGATGATGAAGATGCCCTCTAAAGATCAGTTGAAGGACCAAGGTATGTTTAGAGCCTTTGGGGTGGAGAGTAGAGTAGGGGTGCAGTGCTGTGATCGCTATGGCCACATATGTAAAGAACTGTTATATATACATTGGATTAGACTTGCCCAGTTTGGTCCCATAGTATAGAACCAATAGCAATGGGTAGAATATGGAAAGAAAGGAATTGAGGCTTGATGTCAGAAAAAACTTCCTAACAAGTAAAGCGTTCCCAGAGTGGAACAGGTCGCCTTGCATAGAAGTGGGCTCTCACTCATCAGAAGATTTTAAGTGGGGTATGGATGACCACATGAGTATGTAAACAGGTTTCCTTTTGGTTATAGGTTGGACTAAATGACCAACTGAAATCCCGTCCAACCTTAAATTCTGTGAATTCTCCAATTCTTCTGAGGAAAGGCTGAAAGCACAGTTGTAGTAGTGTACTGTGAAGTAAGATGACAACATATAATAAGCCAACAATGTGTGGTCTGATATTATTTTCCATTAAGTATATAAAGACATCCACTGAAAAAGAAAGTGTGAGAGTCAAGTCAACAAGCATTTATTAAGCCCCTGCTATGAACCACACACTGGAGCTACAAAGAAAGTTTCAAAACAAAACAAAACAAAACAGTGTCTACCCTCAAGTGTAATGGGCAACTCAGTATAATGGGAGAGACAGCATGCAGACAGTAACTTCATTCTATTCTATTCTGTTCTGTTTTTAATAAAGCATCGACATTCTTTTCTAAGTTACAAAGGGAGGAGAATGAGGTTCATAAAGGGAAAGAAACAAGCAGAGCAGTGTTGGGACTATAATATTACTTTAGAAACAGGAAGAATGGAAAGGTCTGTATGAACTGATGCAGAGTGAAGTAAGCAGAGCCAGAAAACATATACACAGGGACTACAGCAATGTAAGTGGAAAGAATCACCACACGAAAGAATCATAAGTGAATATTGCAACATTCTAAAGAACAAGCATGGCTGGGAAGAAAAGACATGAGAAGACGCTCTCCCCCCACCCATTTGAAGAGGTAGGGGGTCCACAAGTGTGGAACATTTTTTATAGTTTCAGAGTTTTTTTAATGAATTGATCAGTTATATTAGTTTTTTCCTCCTATTTTTTTTTGTCTTGGTAAAATGATTGTTATATGGGATGAATGTTTTGGAGGGGGTGGGGAAAGGATACTGAGGGAGATTATGGTGATATAAAAAAAGACATTAATAAAAACTTATTTTAAAAAATAAACATATAGACAAAACCCAAGCTATGTATATCAAAGATTTGTGGTTTTATATGCAGTCCTCTTTTTCTATTTATTTTTAGATAGGGAAATGTTCATATTTCTTGACATTTGTCAAGTTCATAATACCTAAAAGGAAAAAAAATCGAAAAGAAAGCAGTGTACCAATTAAAAAAAAAAACTATGACCTATAGGGAAATTATTTTTGTGAGAAAGAAAAAGGCAAGCTCCCCAAAAAGATTAATATGGCTATCTAGGGCACTCATTAACAAACTCATTTTAAAAAGATGTGTAGACATCTATAACCTATATCAATTGCTTGCTTTCTCAATGGTGGGGGCGGAGGGAGGAAGGGAGAGAATTTGGAACTCAAAGTTTAAAAAACAAATGTTAAAAATTGTTTTTACATGTAACTGGGGAAAAACAAAATACTAAATAAATACATTTAAAAAATAGAAGCTGGAACTTCACAAAAAAGGACAGTCATAACAATTCTATAGGGTACTCTCAAGCCCAGAATGAGGCTGGCAAGGAAAGCTAAGGCCAACAAAAAGGGGATTTATTTGTTTGTTTTAACTATGTTGGGGTCAAGAGGAGTACCAAAGAAAGTATATAATTGTTATTAGGGACAGATGGAACAACAGATGACAGTGAGGTAGATGAAATACTCAAATATTATTTTGCTTTTGCTTTTTAGGGGGAATGGCCTTTGGAACAGGAAGGTAGAACAAACACTTTTACCAGGGAGTGGAAACCAAAGATAAATGAGGAGACAGTCAGGCAGCATTTCTCTGCCCTCAAAGAAGTCGAGTTACCAGGCCCAGAAGAACTACATCGTAGATGAAGAGAGAACTGGCAGATGTGATTCCTGAATAGGTGTCTGTGATCTCTGAAAGATCTTTGAGAACAGGAAGGTTGCTAAAGGACTTAAAAAGAGCAAACATTCTGATTTTCAAAAGAGGGAAGAAGGTGAACTCTACAAACTCCATCAGTGAGCTTGACTTTAATTCCTGAGAAGTTGGTAGTGTCACTCCTTAGAAAAGGAAGCTGTTGGTCTCTAAATTTCAGCATTACTTTATTAAGAACAAGTCATACTAGATTAAACTTACTTCCTTTTTTTCACAAGGTAAATAGACTGCTAGGTCAAGAGAATGGTATCCACATAATATATGGATTTAAATATTTCAACATAGTTTAATGTGGTGCTTGTATATAAATTGGAGCCATTTGAGCTAGATCAAAGTTCTTAACCTCAGATTCATGAACTTTTTTTTTCTTTTATGGTAATTTTTATTCATTTTTTTGTTTTCAACATTTACATCCACAAGATTTTGAGTTCCAGATTTTCACCCCATCTCACCCCTCTCCCCACCCCAAGATGGCATGCATTCTGAATATTCCTTCCCCTAGTCTGCCTTCCTTTCTATCTCTACCCGCCTTCTCTTGTGCCCTTCCACTTCAGTTTTCCTGCAGGGCAGGATGTATTTCTGTACGCCATTTCCTGTATTTCTTATTTCCCAGTTGTATGTGAAAACATTTTTTTTTAAACGTGTTTTTAAAACTTTGGGTTCCAAATTTTCTCCCTTCCTCCCTCCCCACCCACTCTCATCGATAAGGCAAGCAACTCATTATAGGTTATACATGTGCAGTTATGCAAAACACTTCCCTAGTAGACATGCTGTGAAAAACTAACTCTATTTCCCTTAATCCTATCCTGCCCCCCCATTTATTCTATTCTTTCTTTTGACCCTGTCCCTCCTTAGAAGTATTTGCTTCTGATTACCCCCTTTCCCATTTTGCCCTCCTCTCTGTCATTCCCCTACTCTCTTGTCCCCTTCCCCCCCTATTTTCCTGTAGGGTAAGACAGATTTCCACACCCAATTGAGTGTGTATGTTATTCTCTGCTTAAGTCAAATCCTATGACAATAAGATTCAGTCCTTCCCTCTCACCTTCCCCCATTTCCCATCCACTGCAAGAGTCTTTCTTTTCTGTTTTTTTTTTTGTGACATAATTTACCCCATTCTACCTCTCCCTTTCTCCTCCTAGTATAATCCTCTCTCACCCCTTAATTTTATTCTCCAGATGTGGCCCCTTCATTTTCAACTCACCCTATGTCCTCTATCTATCTATCTATCTATCTATATCTATCTATATATATATATGTACATATAATTTTTTCTCCTCCAACTACCCTAATACTGACAAAGGTCTCATGAGTTACAAATATCATCTTTCCATGCAGGAATGTAAACAGTTCAACCTTAATAAGTCTCTTATTATTTCTCTTTCCTGTTTATCTCTTCATGTTCCACTTGAGTCTAGTATTTGAAAATCAAATTTTCTATTCAGCTCTGGTCTTTTCATCAAGAATGCTTGAAAGTCCTCTATTTCACTGAATGACCATTTTTTGCCCTGCAGGGTTATACTCAGTTTTTCTGTGTAGGTGATTCTTGGTTGTCATCCTATCTCTTTTGCCCTCCGGAATATTATATTCCAAGCCCTGCAGTTCCTTAATGAAGAAGCAGCTAAATCTTGTGTTATCCTGATTGTGTTTCCACAGTACTTGAATTGTTTCTTTCTGGCTGCTTATAATATTTTCTCCTTGACCTGGGAACTCTGGAATTTGACTACAATATTCCTAGGAGTTTTCCTTTGGGGATCTCTTTCAGGAGGAGATCAGTGGATTCTTTCAATTTCTATTTTGCCCTCTGGTTCTAAAATATCAGGACAGTTTTCCTTGATAATTTCTTGAAAGATGATGTCTAGGCTCTTTTTTTGATCATGGCTTTCAGATAGTCCAATAATTTTAAAATTCTCTCTCCTGGATCTATTTTCCAGGTCAGTTGTTTTTCCAATGAGATATTTCACATTGTTTTCTAATTTTTCATTCTTTTGGATTTGTTTTACAGTGTCTTGATTTCTCATAAAGTCACTAGCTTCCAATTGCTCTATTCTAATTTTTAAGGAAGTATTTTCTTCAGTAATCTTTTGGACTTCCTTTCCATTTGGCCAATTTTGCTTTTTAGGGCATTCTTCTCCTCATTGACTTTTTGGACCTCTTTTGCCATTTTGGGTTAGGCTATTTTTTAAGGTGTTATTTTCTTCAGTATTTTTTTTGTAATTTAGTAAGCTGTTGACTTGTTTTTCATGATTTTCTTGCATCACTCTCAGATTTTCCTCTACTTCTCTTACTTGCTTCTGAAAATCCCTTTTGAGTTCCTCCAAGGCCTGGGACTGATTCATATTTTTCTTGGAGGCTTTAGATGTAGGAGCTTTGGCTTCGTTGTCTTCTTCTGGTTGTATGTTTTGATCTTCTTTGTCACCAAAGTAAGATAATATAGTCTGACTTTTTTTGCGCTGCTTACTCATGATCCTGGTCAATTACTTGAGTTTTAAACTCTTTGTTAAAGTAAGAGTCTGCTTCCAATGTTGAGAATGTACTGTCCCAAGCTTCAGGGGTTTGTACAGCTGTTTTCAGTGATACCTCTAGGGATCTGAAAATTTTCAGTTCTTCCAAGGTGGTATGATAAGGGGCGAGGTGTTTTCTCTCCACTGCCACAACAAGCTCCACCACACCAGTGTTCCTCCTCACTCCAGGGCCGCCCCTCAGAACTATGACCCAGATCCAAGTACCAGTAAAGCAAGAGATTCCTGCCTCAGCACTGGCAAAGAGATCCCTGCAATCCCCCTCTGATCAGCCACTTGATTTCCTCTCAGTCTGTGGGCCGGAGGCTCAGAAAACAGCCGCGGCCCTGGGCCACGCTCGAGACTTGTGGCTCACAGCTCCTCTCTCACTGCAGTCACAGACTTTTCCCACTGACCTTCCAAGTTGTCTTTGGCGCTTATGGGTTGAGAAGTCTGGAAACCGCCACAGCTGCCCACGATTCAGTCCTCTGAGGCCTGCTCTGGGGTCGCTGCGGCCTGTGCGCCCATGCCGCACTGTGCTTCTCTCCCCGCCTGGCGCGATATACCTTTCTGATCAACCATCCAGGCTATCTTTGGCTGGAAATTTGTTTCACTCTGTCTTTTTGTGGGTTCTGCTGCTTTAGAATTTGTTTAGAGCCATTTTTTATAGGTATTTGGAGGGGTTTGGGGGGAGAGCTCAAGCAAATCACTGCTTTCCCTCTGCCGTCTTGGCTCCCCATGAACTTCTTTTTAAAAAATATTTATTTTAATATAATTGGTTTCCTTTGTAAACTGATGAATTCTATGTAATGCATTTAAAAACATTATTCTGAGAAGTGGTCCATGGGCTTCACTAGACTGCCAAAGGGGTCCATGACAAAAAGTAGATAAGAAAGCCTGAGCTAAACGATAACAGAATTATGTGTATTTGGAACCGATTGAATATCCAGAATGAAAGAGAAGACGTCAGTGAGTCATTGACATCATGGAAGGATTTCTCTGTCAGAGTTGCTTATTTGGTCTTTGGCCCATTACTATTCATCAATCTGTAATAATGTGAAAGCTAAATGGCATATTTCTTAAATCAGCAAATCATATGAAGTTTAAAGAAAGAAGTAATAGATTAGGTGACAGAGTCAAGATTCAAAAAGATCTTGATAGGCCTGAATAATAAATCAAGTGAGATTAAATTTAATAATAATATGTAGCATTTACTATGTGTCAAGCACAATTATTATCTCATTTGATTCTCACAACAACCCTGGGAGATGGGTGCTATTTTCCCCATATTACAGTTGAGGAAACTGAGGTAAACAGGTTAAGTGACTTGTCCAGGGTCATACAGCGAGTGTTTGAGGCCAGATTTGAACTCAGGTACTACTAACTTCAAATGCTTATCCACTGTGCCACCTAGCCACAGCAGATATATTTTTACAGATAAAAGTAAAGTTAAACATTTGGGTTCAAAAATTCAGTAGCACAGGCACAGGAAAGGGGAGGTATGGCTAAACAACATTTCCTATGAAAAAGATTTGGAGGTTTTAATCAACTTCTTCAAGCTCTGTGTGAGTCGGCAGTGGGATATGGCAAAAAGGCCAAAAAGCCACTGCTATTAAAGGCTGTCCCTAGAGAGGTCACAGTTGAGAACAACAAGGACAGTCGCTCTGTGGTTTGCTGTCCCGATCGGTGTGTGATCTTTGGGAGGAAGTAACAAATGCAAAAAGAAAGAGCATCAGTAAAATGTAAAAAAATACATATTAGAAAGGAAAATGAGTTCCGATGAAGGCAGTTTTGCTACAATCTTGTTAGATATAATATAGGCTTTGGGAGAAATTTTAAAAATTATCAGTATTTTTTGTTTTTATGTCACCTTCATTTTTCAGTGTATCTCTGAATCTATATTGATGTATCCTCCCTCCCATAGAGACATTCTCTATTACAAAAAAATCAAAAACCAATTAACACTTCAACAGAGTCTGACATATGCAATGATCCATAGTCTCTTGCCTCTGCAAAAAATACAGCATTCTCTTAACTCTTTTGGAACCAAGATTTGTTATAATTTCACATCATTTTTTCACTTGTTTTGTTGTTCTTTCCATTTACACTGTTATAGTCATTGGGCATATTATTTTCCTGGTTCTCCTTCAGTTTGTGTTGGTTTATACAATACTTCCTTTTTTTTGTATTTTTCATGTTTATCATTCCTTAAAGTACAATAAAAATATGCAGTTTTTAAAGGAAACTATCTAATAGAGGTTTCATATATGATCTTTTTTGTGTATTGGAGTCTTTGTAGTTAAGTTCATTGTAAGAAAAAGGAAAGCGTTTTAAATCAATAGAAAAACTAAAGTGCGTGCTTCTGTAAACTAGAAAGCGTGATGGGGGAGGGGGTCTTCCACTCTTTAGACATCTGCTTATATCCACGAAGGACTAGAAAATATTCCATACGAGGCTGCATGAAAGGAGTTAGAAATGTTTAGCCAGGAGGAGAGAAGGTTTAGAGGGTATGGGGATAACTTGTGTGGAAGGGGACTAGACTTATTGTGCTTAGCCCCTGGCCGAGGGAAGAGCTGTGAGAAAGCAGATTCAGTCACCATGTGGTGAGGCTGCCCTGCGGTGGAATGGGCCTCCCCAGGAGGGGACAGGTTCCCCCGTGGTAGAGGTCCCCACAGACTGCGTGGCCACCGGACAGGTGTGCTCGGGTGGGGCTTTCTGCTCAGGTACAAAGCGCGCTAGATGGCCTCTGAGATCCTTTCCCCTTCTTAGATTCGTTGGTTCAGCGATAGGAGGCGTCACTACAAATCAGGAAACAGATCTTGGTGAGTGGTTTCTGTTCCCACTCCCACGGATTTTTAGTCACAAGTCATCACCAGAGAGCAGATGAGAGGCTGTGGTCACGTAGATCATCAGAGGCGCAGCTACTCAGCTCCTTCTCTGATTCTGTGTCATATAAGCCATTTTGGAATTAATTTTTCACAAAATATGTGACACAGGGAAGAGAATGAGAATGATTTTCCCTCAGTGAAGGAGGCTGGAGGCAGAGATGTCAAGGTGTGTAGTTCATAGGAATAGAGCTTGAAAGGAGCTTAGAGGCCATCAGGTCCAAATAGCTTCATTTTACTGGGAGGAAATTGGGGTCCAGAGAGGTTAAGTGACTTGCCAAAGCTCACACAGATATTAAGTGACAGAGGCAGTATTTGAACTCAGGTATTCTGACTCCAGAGCCAGTGATCACTTTCCACTGTAGTGCACTGAACCAGGTAAGGACAAAGCCGTTAAGTCAAGCCACATTCCTGACTCGGAACCCACGCTGTTCTTGGTAATGGGTTACAAGCTCAGAACCAACATCTCTGGTCCCATCTTGGTCCTTCTCCCTTATCTGGAGAGGGAGCAGGGCAGCTATGCCTGGGCTCCTTCTGTCCCCTCTCTTTGCATAGTATGAAGGAGGTGGGAAAAATCCTACCAAGCTGTTACGTCGAGATTCTGGGAATTGCAAAATGAGTCCAGGCTCCCTCATGCCCTCATTCTCTTTCAGCAGCCTTGCAATACAGAAGAAGAAATGGCTCCTGTGTTGCTGACAGCCAGGCCCCAGGTGAGTTGATCTTTCCTCTCTTTTTCCTGAAATGCAGTAACAATGTCCAGAATATATATACTTTTTATTCCCTTGTCATGAAGCATCTCTGCCAGGAACCAGAGCCCCCAATTCTTCATCCCTAGGAAACTGCCCCATCTTGGTGGATGATGGACTGTAAGGAATGCTCCCCCACCTCTAGTGCCTTCCCTCAGTATGGCCCAGGGATGGCCCAGTAACTTGGAGATAAGATGCTTTCTGCCTTAAGCCACATGCCTCAGTCTCTGGCCTTATTCCAGAGGACACAGTACTTAGAGCCCTTGATGTCATCAGACCTACTTCCTGCCTACTCCATCTATCTCTGTAGTGCATTTAATCAACTCCCTTTTCTGAGGAGGAGGGTCCAGGGTGAGCAAGAATGTGTTTGTTTCAGGAATCAGTGACATTCAAGGATGTGGCTGTGAACTTCACCCAAGAGGAGTGGCAGCGACTGAACCCGGCTCAGAGGGACCTATATAGAGATGTAATGTTGGAGAACTATAGAAATCTCATCTCCCTGGGTAAGGACGGCTTCCCCGTGATGTAGAATCTGTACAGTATCAAGAAAATATTCTTTTAGCATAAATGGAAATAATTAAATTACTTTTTAAAATTAAGTGCTTATACCAGATTTCAAACTATATTACAAAGTGGTAATCATAAAAACAATGTAGTACTGAATGAGAAAAGAGTGGTTGATCAGTGGAATTGATTAGGTACATGACATACATAAGTAAATGACCATAGTAACCTAGTATTTGATAAATTCCAAGATCCAAGCTATTGGGGCAACAACTCACTGTTCAACAAAACTGCTGGAAAAGTTGAGTTTGGCAAAAACTAGGCATAGACCAACATCTTACACCGTATACCAAGATAAGCTCAAAAGGGGATACATGATTTAGACATAAAGGATGACATCATAAGCACATTAATGGAGTATGGAGTAATTACCTTTCAGGTCTATGGATAAGGGAAGAGTTTATGCCCAAACAAGAGACAGAAAGGATCACAGGAGGTAAAATGGATAATTATGATTTCATTAAAAGGATTTTGCACAGAAAAAAGCCAATGCAGCCAAAATAAGAAGGAAAGCAGGAAGCTGGGAGAAAAAATTTTATTGGAAGTTTCTCTGATAAAGGTCTCATTTCTCAAATGTATGGGGAATTGAACCAAATTTACAAAAATAAGAGCCATTCTCTAATTGATAAATGGTCACAAAGGATATGAACAGACAGTTTTCAGAAGAAAGCAAAGCTATCAATAGTCACATGAAAAAATGTTCTAAGTCACTAATATTTAGAGAAATGCAAATTAAAATAACTCAGAGGTACCACATTGCACCCATCAGATTGATTAACATGACAGAAAAGGAAAATGACAAATGCTGGAGGGGATGTGGAAAAATAGAAAAACTAATACACTATTGATAGAGCTGTGAACTGGTCCAACCATTTTTGAAACATTTCCAGGTTAGTATGGAGCCTGTCAGAGCTTGTGCTTAATTGGCATAATTTTTTTTTTTTTTTTTGGCAAGGCAGTCGGGGTTAAGTGACTTGCCCAGAGTCACACAGCTAGTAAGTGTTAAGTGTCTGAGGCTGGATTTGAACTCGGGTCCTCCTGACTCCAAGGCCAGAGCTCTATTCACTGCACCATCTAGCTGCCCCTAATTGGCATAATTTTTGAAAACACTTTTATGCCATGTTGAAGCATCAAAATGGGAGTTTAGTGGTGGAGCTTAATGTCTGTAGGAAATGCTTTGAAATTAGTGATTGCTATCTAACAGTGAAGGTGAGCATAAGGTCCTATTGATTTTACAAGGAACAGTCAATAATGGTGTTCTAAAGAAGATGAAGATCTGAGTATTTCAAGAATAATAATAGGAAGAATAGATATAGGTCAGAAAAAGCATATTAATTTAGAAATTGAGGAAAAGACTAGAAAGAGGTCAGAGCAGGCAAGAGCCACGTGTGGAATTAAAAAATGGTATGTCTGGAAGTCAAGAGCTCCTTTCTTAAATACCTCAAAACATATAACTGAATATCCAACTAGCATTAAGGAGAAACTGAAATACTTGTGTTATAAATTATGGTGAGGAAATACAGGGGAGGAAAAAATTAGAATTTGGAGAGCCAGCAGTAAGAGAACCTAAAGTAAAGATGGAGGTGAGAAAGGCATCAATCTGTTTTCCACGTTCAACTTAAGGAGAGTCCTGAACACTAAATAGAAGAAAAACTTAATTTTCTCAAAACAATCCAAGAGGAGGGCTAGGAAGGGCTCCATACAGAAAAGCAGTGTGAACGTTGAAAAACTGAGGAAATCATTCCACAGGACTAATAATGAAGCATGCTTCCCACCTTCTGACAGATGGACTCAAGATGCAGAATAAGATAGACATTTTCAGACAAGACCAATGTGGAAATTTATTTTGTTTGACTGCAAGGGGTTTGTTTTTCTTTTTTTCAACTGTAGGGGATGGAAGGGAAGAGGAGCTAGGGATAGGGTTGCCCATAAAAGAAAGATTTTATTTTTAAAAGTAATTTTAAAATAAAAGTAGTGTGCCTAAGAACTGGTGAACATCTGATAAGGATAGGAAATAGATTAGAGAAAGTTTATACTAGTTTTGCCCATAAAAAAAATCAAGGAAAGAAGAGAACAAGGCAAGGTCTAGTGAGTAGCTATGTAAAGGGAGAAAGGTCCTCCATCTTGAGCAGCTCTTAAGGTGCAGAAATACCAAAGAGAATTGGTAAGAACTGGAGAGCCTCTGAATTGCCCAATTGTGTTTATCATTCAGACCAAAGATTTCTTTTTGAAAATTCTGTATTTAATGGTTCCATAGCTGGAAATGAGAAACTTCATTTGTAACCCTTCACTTCCCATAAGAAGTACTTCTCCCTGTCCTTTTTTTCCCAAAGGCTCTAGCAATAAGCCTGAACCGTCTTCAGAAATTTCTGTGACTCTTGGCTTTCATATCCTGTCTCAATAGGGAGGCACCAAAGTATAGTGGGAGGAAAAAAGGCCAGTATTGACTTTTGGAACAATTTTTGTGTCTCCAGGACAACCTGCTGTGTTTCATCCCCTTCTTTATAAACAGGGCTCCCCATTTCTAAACCTGATGTGATCTTTCATTTGGAGCAAGGAGAAGAGCCATGCATGTTTGATTTACAAGGAATTGAAGAAGGAGAGATCTCAAGAAATTCCTATTTGGGTGAGTAAGAGAGAGACTGACAGGTAAGACTTAATGAAAATAATAGCCCAAGTGGTTAGTGAGGGGGCCTTCTCAGTGACCCCAAAGCCTGCTGAGATTGTTGATTCCCAGGACCCATGCTGGAAAGCTGTTTCCCATTTTGTGGCAGTGGGGGTGGAAGATTTTTTTTCCCCTCAACTGTGATTCTTCTGCTCTCCTTTTTATTTTGTTAGTCCCTGACTCTTTTCTTCTCTTCATCCTTTCCAGAAACCATCCTTTTTTTCAGATCATGTCCTCATCCTTATGCATTCCTGGATATTTCTCCTCATCAGCATCTCCTCCTCTTAAGGATGATAAGAATCAGATTACCTTAACTCCTGGATAGGTTTGATCATATTTTTTGCTCACCTTTCTCTCCTTCACAATTCTTTGTCTCCTATTTTCTAGGCTCTTCTCAGTATACAACTCTATTTAGAAAACCATCCCAATAATGTGGGTAATCCAGGAGACATTTTTTATCTTATCCACTTTCAACCAGAGATTTTCCTTTTTTTTTTTAAATTTTTTTTAAAGCAATTGGGGTTAAGTGACTTGCCCAGGGTCACACAGCTAGTAAGTGTGAAGTGTTTGGTCTGAGGCCGGATTTGAACTCAGGTCCTCCTGACTCCAGGGCTAGTGCTCTATCCACTGCGCCACCTAGCTGCCCCAGAGATTTTCCTTTTAAAAAGCACATGGAGTACATTACTTTGTGTTTTCTTTTGGTTTCAGAGAGGGAGAATAAACCTGGGACCCAGGGGTCAGCTCCAAAGCAGAGCATTTCTGAAGAAGTAGAATCATCAGAAGTATTAGTGGGAAGATTCACAAGAGAAGTTACTGTACCTGAGGTTAGATTGGAGAAGAAAAGAGAAAATTCTGAAGGGAAGACAAGGAGAAAATCTGTTTCCCATAAGAGAAGTCTCAAGAAAATGTCAATAAATGACCAAAAAAATTCCAGTAAGGAGAGAGGCCCTGAATGTAATCTATGTGGGAAAACCTTCAGGCACAGAAGTAGCCTTCGGAGACATCAGATTACTCACACAGGAGAAAGACCCTATGAATGTAATGAATGTGGGAAAGCTTTCTTTGACTGTTCATCCCTTACTATACATGAAAGAATTCATACTGGAGAGAAGCCCTATGAATGTGATGAATGTGGGAAAGCCTTCTTTAACTGCTCAAATCTTACCAGACATCAGAGAATTCATACTGGAGAGAGTCCCTACAAATGTAAAGAATGTGGTAAAGCCTTCAGACATAGCAGTAGCCTTAGGAGACATCAAATGACTCACACGGGACAAAGACCCTATGAATGTAATGAATGTGGAAAAGCCTTCTTTGATCGTTCAACTCTTGTCATACATGAGAGAATTCACACTGGGGAAAAGCCCTATGAATGTGATGAATGCGGGAAAGCCTTCTTCGACAGATCATCCCTTACTCAACATCAGAAAATTCATAGTAAAGAGAAGCTCTATGAATGCAGAGAATGTGGGAAAGCCTTCAACTTGAGAAGGCACCTTAACCGACATCAGATAACTCATACTGGAGAAAAACCTTATGAATGTAGTGTATGTGGGAAAGTTTTCAGTCGCAAGTCATCTGTTATCCAGCATCAACGACGTTATGCCAAAGAATGATCCTAGGAATATGAATTGAGGGAAAACTTCAGCCAGACTTGTCACTTTATTAAATGCTCAAGAGTCAAGGTGGGACCACAGACCCTATTAAAAACTTGATGTTGACTCCCCTAACCTAAATAAACCTGTTGTTCAAGTCTGTTAACTTTTCTTCTTACTATTTAAATTTTCTCCTTCCTTTTGCTATCAAACTCTCTGAGTAAGTGGTCTGTAGGTAGTATGTCATGAGCCTGGCCTCAAATACTTTAAATACAAAATTAACTAAAAACCCCTCAAGAAATGTCTCTTGCTGTCCTTGTTGACCTCAACTCGAGAGAGACACAACTCAAAAGGAAACTTCAATTTCCCTCATCATCTTTGAGTCATAAATCTTCCCCTACCTAATTATGAGTATTTTTTCTCCATACCCTCTGTTAATGGTTTAGAGCCTCAAATCCATGGGACCTTATAGCTAAAGGCATTAAATGCATGTCAGGGTTTTTAATTATTTTAGTCCATTGGAGAACAGCTTATAGTAAACATTCAAATCTTCTATAGGACATGAACCTGACCTCAGACCATGCTTTGTATCCCAGTCAGTCATCTACCAGAAAACTTGTGCTTGCATGCCTGGGCATCTTGCCCTCTTCCCTGTCCCTCCTTTCCCTTTCCCCATTTGAAGCAATACTTTTCAGACTACCTCCAGAGACCAAGCCAATCTAGGCCTCCAGCTTCTTTGGAAATGTTGATCCAGTAGGATTGAGCTGTCCTAATTGGTGAGAGCAAATACATCTAACCCACTGTATCCACCTGGCCCCAGACCATGCTTTATATCCCATTCAGTCCTTTGCCATTCCTACTCGGGCTATTGCCATCTGGTCCACCCCTCTTTCTACCTTTTTCTCTGGGAACAGTAATCAACTCAATATATCTTTGTCATGGAAAAGGAAATGGCAATTGATTTTTCTATTGCCTTCACTTAAAATCCCTATGACTTACCACACCACTCCATTCCCAGGCAACCCCCTCCCAATATATATGTATATGTGTATATTTGTATATTTATATATTTATATGTATACATATAAATTACATCATGTATAAATTATATGTGTATGTGTTCATATATATATTACTTTCTAATTAGAGGAAATTTTTTTTCTCTAATTAGAATGAAAACTTTGAGGACAGAGATTATCTTGCTTTTTCATCCCATTGCCTAGCACAATGTGTGGCAAATACCAAGCACTTAAAAGGATGTTTTTTATTCATCCACATATTCATTTGTCCACTCCAGCTTTGTTTATAGCTGTTAGCTCCACTTCTCTTAGAAATTTGCCTTGGATCCAACCCATTTCTCCTAACCTGGATATTCTTGCATTCTAGTTCTTGAAACAATTGGTTGTCCCATTGATCCAAGCAGGTTGTCCAGCTTCACCTTCAGGTATGACAGGAGGCCCATCACTCCTATAAGCCTTGCCTCTACTTTTTCATTACTCATTTACTCCTTAACCTTTTGCCCTCAACTCTGACTTCTCTTAAAGTGCACTAGTGATTTTTAAAAATTGATTTAGAAGTGTCAGGATGCATTTTGCTTTTACATCAGTTGTTTCTGAATACATCCAGTGCCACAACCCCTGAACACCTTTTCTTGTGACAAAGTGAAACATCTGAGCAAAACCACCTAATACGGCCTCCACACCTGGCGTAGTATACTGTATCCAATGTTTTGCACCCATAGGGTCCCATCTCTTCAAGGAAAGGAGGGATATGTATTTTATTCATATCTAGGGCCAAGACTGGCCATTAATATACAGTGTTTGGCTTCATTTTCGTGGTTTTCTTTAAAAAAATATTATTATGCCTTTTCTTAGTTCTTGTCTTTGGGTTGGATCCAAGGCAAGTTTCTAAGAGATGTAGAGCTGACAGCCACAAATGGAGTTGGAATGGACAAACGAATGAGTGAATGAATAAAAAATCATTTTAAGTGCTTAGTATGTGCCACACATTTGTGCTAGGCACAGGTATGCATATCTACATCTCTACATGACCCTTTTGACTACTGTCTCCTTCTTTGAACTCTCCTTTGTTTTAATGACATTAACACTTCTTCTATCTCTAACCACTTTGTTTTTTTCTTCCTGCCTGTTAAAGGGTTTTCCTTAAGGCTCAGTCCCTGGCTTTTTATCTTTTATTCACTGGAAAAGCCTTGTTCTTATGGCTTTAGTTATTACCTCTATGCTAATGATTCCAAATCTACAGCTATTCAGAGCCCTGTAATAGAGTGCTGGAAATTAAATGACTAATTTGGACAGGTAACCAACCACTAAATCTACATGCCTCCCTTTACCCCCAAAACCCTGCCTTAGACTTAAATCTGGAGTGGCAACCCCAGGTCATTCTCACTAAACCAGAGAAGGAAAGTTCGAGTGTACTGTCACATAACATGATCAGTGGGATCGGGTCAAGTAGAGAATGCTAGGGGAACAAGATGCCAGATCTGAGGGGACAAGTGAAGACAAATAGACAAAATGGGGCAAGTGAAAACGGGAAACAGGCTGCCTATGAAAACCATAGAGTATCTGGGTTGAGAAATGTAACTATTTCCTCATAAGTGAGGTAGGTAGGGCTAGGATATTGTAGCAGGATGGGCTGGGAGCCCTTAACCCCTGCTCCTTTGCCCCATCCCCCAGCATCTTAAAGAATCCATGACTGAGAACCTGGGTCTTTATAATCTACGGTCATGAGACATCTTCATTTGGTTGTCCCCTGTCATCTTAAAGTTAATACATCTATAACCAAACTTACCTTCTTCATCTCAAATCAGTTTCCCATTCCAAGTGACCCATTCCTGTCAATGGCATCAGCTGTATCCTATTTTTCAGATCTGATCTTAAAATCTTTTTGAATCAAAACCTGTCAATTTTTAATTTATGATTTTTTTAACTCAAAACCTGTCAATTTTTGATTTATGATTTTTCTTACATACATATTTTCTATTCACACTGATACTTCCCCAGTTAAGGCCCTTATCTATGTCTGGTCTACTGCATTAGTTTACTGTCCGACCTCCTACCTCCAAGTTGTCCTTACACAATCCATCCTGCACATTTTTGCTAGATTAATCTTACTAAACATTGCTATTAGAGGAAGCTGGTGGTGCAGTGGATAGAACACTGAGCCTGGAGTTGAGAAGACCTGAATTCAAATCTAGCCTCTAACACGTACTAGATGTGTGACCCTGGTCAAATCACTTAACCTCTGCCTCAATTTCCTCAATTTTGGAATGGAGATAATAATAGCACCCACCTCTCATGGTTGTATCAAATGAGATAATATTTGTAAAAATGGCTAGGCAAAGTGGCACAGAGTAGGTGCTATATAAGTGCTTTTTCCTATTATTATTACAAATACTTGTTCAAAGCTTTTAATGGGTCTCCACTGCTAGTAGGATTAAGTTTAACCTTACTCTAACATTCAAGGTTTTCCACAATCTAGGTCCACACTACCAAGTCATTTTACTTCTTACTTTTCCCTAACATGAATTCTCCACTACAACCAGAGCTTCTAAATGGGCTTCCCATTTCTAAATCTCATGTAATCTTCCACTTCAGGTAAGTGAGAAAGGGAGTGAGGCCAAACCAGACAGATAGATAGGAATCCTTTGGAAGAACAACCCAGCAGTTTATTGAGAGGGAGTTCTCAGTAGTCCCAAGGCATGTGCCAAACAACCTGGTAGGAAAACCCTTCTTTTCAGACAAGGTGGGAGTGGTTACTTTATCTTCAATTGAAATTCTTCTAATTCTCTTTTCATATTCAACTTTTGCCACCCATCAGCTATTACTCTCCCCTCTCCTTACTTCTTACTCATTTTTCCCAGATCCCATCCTTTTTCTGAATCATTCTTTGATATTATTGTTTTATCTTTTGTACCACATGATCTATTGCTCTTACTACCTCTACCAGGTTCCTAGATAGATCACCTCATATTGTCTGTTTACCTTGCTTAGAGAACTTGTAACCCACTCCCTATGTCCACCCCTCCTTGGGTTGCAAGTTTTTGAAAACTGCCATTACCATGAATCCTCAGTAGACATTTAATTTCATTTTCTTTATACTTATAGCATTTTCCTTCTCTATTGTATAGAAAGCATGACATTTTAATTTTCTCTTCGTTTCAGAGTGGGAGAATAGATCTGAAACCCAGGATTCAACTGTAAAGCAGAATTATAATTAGAGGGAGAATTAATAAATTTATAACCAAAGAATTGAGAAATAGAAAAAATAAAACAGTCACTTTTAACTATAAAATTTAAATATTTTTGTACAAAATCAATGCAAGAGGTTATAGATATGAAGAATTGAGAGAAGCATGGGAAGACTTACATGAACTGATGCAGAATGAAGTAAGCAGAACCAGGAAGACAGTATACAGAATGATCACAATATAATTTGAAAGAACAAAGAAACTGAATGCTGTGCAATTATAATGACCAAGCTTGGACCTGGAGAAAAACTGAAAGAATATATTTCTCTTCTTTCTTCATAGATGTGAGAGATTCTGTGTATGGAATTTTGCATAGGCTCTCAGACTGAGTTGATTTTGCTAACCTACTTTTTTCCCTTGTTTTTTAAATCTTTGTTACAAGGGATAGCTCCGTGGGGAGGGGTGAGGGAGGAGATATATTTGAAAACAAAGGTGACATAATAAACAAATTTCTTGTAATTCTAAAAAATGCTAGTAATAGCACAAGATAAGAAAAAAATTAAAAGCATAAAGATAGACAAAGGGGAGATAAAACTATCTGTATTTGCTGATGACCTGAGGGTTTACTTAGAAAATCTTAGGGAATCACCAAAGGCACTAATTGAGATAATAGCTTTGGCAAAGTTGAAGGTTACAAAATTAACTCACAAAAACAATGTAATTTCTACATAATAACAAAATTCAAGAGGCAATAATAGAAAATGAAATCCCATTCCAAATGAATACAAAATGAATTTAAACACTTGGGGACCAATCTATCAAAACAGCTTCAATACTTAGATTCAATTACAAAGTGCTTCTTAGAGAAAAAAAACAAAACAAATAGCTGGAAGAATATTTAATGCTCATGAATATACCATACCAATATAATAAAAACATCAGTACTACCAAGTTAATCTATAGTTTTAATGCTATTCTAATCAAATTATCAAAGGGATATTTTCCAGCACCCAACAAAATCATAAAATTAATTTGAAGAAACAAAAGATGTAGAACATGAGAGAAATAATGAAAAAAGTTAGAAATGAAGGAGTAATAACACTTCCAGACCTCAAATAATATTATAAAGCAGCAGTCATAAAAAAAAAATTTGGTACTGATAAAAAAATAAAGAAGAAAAATCAGTGAAATTGACCATACAAGGGAAAATCAGATGCAATGGAATTGAATAACCCAGTGTTTAATCAACCTGAAAATATATATTAGTTAGGAAAGGACTTCCTATTTGAAAGGAACCATTGGGTAAAATGGGAGAACAATCAGCTAGCAATTACCTTATGCCATATTCCATAATAAATTCCAAATGGATATGTAGAATGAAGCAGAGCTAAAATACATACATACGCAATGTAAATGGAAAGAACAACCACAAAGAATATGCCATTAAAAAAAGCTAAAAGAGAAGCAGATAACATGCCTTTCACATATGGATAGGAAGTGACAGAGGTCATTGCAAAAGATAAAATAGATCATTTTGATTAAATGAAATTGAAAGACTTTTACACAAACAAAATAAATGTATCTAGGATAAGACAGCAAGTGGTTGAATGGGGGAAAAATCTTTCTAGCAATTTTTTCAGTTAAGAGTTTGGTATCCAAGATATTTAAACAACTAACACACACATATACACATACACACACTCGTATATAACTATGCATACATATAAAATATGTATATACATATATATGCACATGTGGATAGAGAGATATCCAAAAGCCATTCCCAATAGGGAATAAACATTTACATAGCACCAACTATGTGCTAGGTACTGTTCTAAGTGCTTTACAAATATCTCATTCAATCCTCACAACAACCCTTGGAGATAGATGCTATGATTATTATCATTTTACAGTTGAGGAAATAAAATCAGAGATTAACTTGCCCAAGTAAGCATTTGAGGCCAGATTTGAACTCAGGTCTTCCTGTCTCCAGGCCCAGTGCTCTGTGTACTATGGTGCCACCTAGTTCCCTCTAGATTAGATTAATGGTCAAAGGATATGAACAAACAGTTCTCAAAAGATCCTGTGCCTGATTTATGAATCAGAGCTGGAGGTGGGTGGTGGTGTATTGCATAGAGAACTAGATTTAGTCAGGGGAAACTTAAGTTCAAGAACAGCTGCAGATACTTACTAGCTGTGTGATACTGGGAAAGTGATTTAACCTCTCTGCCTCAATTTCCTCATCAAAGGTCCTCATCAAAGGTCTGGAGTCAGGAAGACCCATATTCAAATCTGGCCTCAGACAGAATTGTCTGAGGTGTGTGTCTCTGGACAAGTCATTTAACCTCTGCCTCAGTTTCCTTGTCTGTAAAATGGGAATAATAATAGCATTTACTTCCCAGGATTGTTGTGAGGACTAAGTAAGATACTATACATAAAGCACTTTGCAAACTTTGAAGCACTATATAAGTGCTAGTTACTATTATTATTATTATTACAGCTATCATATAATAGGGACAATTGTTTTGAAGACAAAGTGCTCTTACTGATTTTATAGGTATTCAAATGTATATAATTGCAGTGTGTGAAAAATCTAATTTGGTAAATAATACAGCAGAAATTGGAAAGCTAGAAATACTATTTGGAACACATTTTATAAATTGTCAAGTGCTCAAGACGGAGAATACTTTGATGTCAAATAGTTGTAGTTAAAAGATAAATTTGGTGATTTATAGAAATCTAATTCATATTGCTCTAGCCCAGGGGTGAGCAACCTGCATGTGGCCACAGGTTCCCCACCCCTGCTCTAGCCTATTCAAGTGACTTCCATCTTTTCTTTAAAACTGTAAAACTTATGTCAGTCGATGTTTATAACAGCATCTCATATAGCAGTAGGCAGGTGCCTGAAGACCTCTTCTCACCGATGTGAGATATTCCAGCATGTGAAATTACTCCCTGAGGCAATGCAATAAACCTGTTCACCACGGACTAATTGAGGAGAGTAAAAAGTTAGACGAACAATTTAAACTACAAACAAATTTGGGTCTCCTTGCTTTTGTAGATTGCATGAAGAGAGATTTTTTCAGAAGCAGGCTCCAAAGTTATGCTAAGGATTGGTGGGTAGTTTAGAAACAAGAAATCTATGCTTACTCCCTCCCAAGGTCTGTAACCTTTTTCAACCTTTAGGAAGAACAATTGTGACACAACCTTATTTCTTTCCAGCTTCTATTAGCTAGTCTAGAAGAGTTTGTTTTTTTCTTCGACAAGAGTTTGTCAAAAGTGACCCTACTTGCTCCCATGCTTGGCATAATGCTCCTGAGGAAAGGGGGAAATTGAGATTTTTTTGGTGTTGTTGCAGTCAAAATAATTGGTTGAAAAAAGACTGGTTGAAATTTTTCTTTAAAAGTTTCAACAATATTATTGTACCTGCCTCATCTGCAAGAGACATAATGTTGGGAAACAAAATCAAGACAAAGAGAGCAGCATATAAGATAAGTCTTTTTCTTTGTTCATATATTGATTTTATTCAAAATGACTAAATGCTAAAATGATGACTATGTTCTTGTTATAGCTATATATGGTTTTTTTTGGTTGTTGTTGTTGTTGTTTTGGGGAGACAATGGGATGAAGTGACTTGCCCAGGGTCACACAGCTAGTATCAAGTGTCTGAGGTCATATTTGAACTCAGGTCTTCCTGAATCCAGAGCCAGTGCTCTCTCTACTGCTATCTAGCTGCCTTACTATATATGGTTTTAGGATGAACAGAAATCCATCCTACAGTTAACATAGACTCCAAAGTAGTCACAAAGAAGATTGCTGAAGGATTGTTGTAACCAAATTACTGTTAAATAAATGCCTGCTGGAAGCCTGATTTCAGCAATTAAAGTCAAGATTAATTGGACATGTTTGTAATAAAGCCATCACTGAAGTTTCGGAATAGAAATACATAAAGGCCTAGAAAGAGAACAGTAGTTGATACAATTGGTTACTCAGTCAACAAGCATTTAGTAAGCATTTACTACTGCTGCTAGGTACTGTGGCTAAGCTCTGGGGATATTGAGAAAGGTAAAAACACGGTCCCTACCTTCAAGAAGCACTTAGAAAATGTCACTGTCTTTATGACAGGAGTCTTATTGAATCAACTCCAGGTGGATTTTGGAGAGTTCCACATCATTTGGGTAGCTAGGTACCACAATGGCTAGAGTGCCTGTCAGGAAGCCCCTGGTTCAAATCCAGCCTCAGATCCTTACTCACTGTGTGTGTGATTCCAGGCAAGTTACTTAACCTCTGTTTACTCAGTTTCCTCATCTGTAAAATGGAGATAATAATAGCACCTACCTCCCAGGGTTGTGGTGAGGTTCAAATGAGATAATAACTATGAAGGGTTTAGCACAGTACTGGGAGCACTATATAAATGTCATACACACACACATGTGTGTGTGTGTGTGTGTATAATATATGTGTTACATATAGTAAGGGCTATATAAATGTTAGCTATCATCCTCATCATTTCTGTGCTAGGCAACCACATAAAAACTTTCCCCACTAATGAGTGAGATAATCTAATCGGTGAGCCACTCCAGTGAGACAAAAGTCCAGAATTTCTTGAACGACCAGCTGTGAGCCATAACCAATGCCCTCACTCATCACTGTTGGCCTGAAAGGTCAAAGAACCAAGAATCCCATTTGTTTTATGGCCATGAAGTTATGTCTGCAGGTTCTTAGGTTGGAAGGACAGATATTCACAATGCACTTTTCTTGCCATTACAGGAATCTGGACCCTGCCTTTGGGATGCTGGAAAGTCTGCACTGGGACTGTCATCAGTCAACAAGCATTTATTAAGCAATTACTATGAGTCAGACACTGTGCTAAGTGCTGGAGATAAAAGAAGGCAAAAATGCAATCCATGCCTTTCAAGGAGCTCACACATATATAAGCAAGTATGTACATAAAGGTACATACAGGATAAACAGGAGGTAATCTAATACTAAAAACAATAGAGGCATGGTGGATGGTGGGAAAGGCCTCTTGCAGGTGAGATTTGAGATGTACTGAAGGAAGCCTGGGAACATTGGAGATGGAAAGGAGGGAGAGGATTCCAGTCATAGGAGACAGGTAGCAAAAAAGCTGAGCTGGGAGAAGGAGCGTTCTATTCCAGAAACAGTTAAGTAAGCCAGTGTCTCTGGATGGTAGAATACTCAAAGGGCAGTAAAATATAAAAAGACTGGAAAGGTAAGAAGGGACCAGGTCATGAAGGACTTTAAAAGTCATACATAGCACTGTATGTTTGATCCTGGAGGTAATGGGAAGCCACTGGAATGTATTCCTGTGGCAGCTGAGTGGAGGAGGGAATGAATGGGGAAAGATTAGAGGCAGAAAGACCAATCAGTAAGCTACTGCAACAGTCCAGGGGAGAGATGGTG